CCATATGAACAATCTATTGTTGAAAAGATTAGGGTTTGGTTCAATAACACTTCTTAATATTTTATTTTTTTATTATTTTAAAAATATATAAAATAATAATTAAAATAAATATAAAATATATACAATATATTTTTATATATTTTTAAAATATTAAAAAGCTAAAAAAACTTATTACTGTAACTTCGAGTTACTATATCGTCCAACTAAGTCTAGAGAAACTGACAGAAATTAAGCCAGGAAAAGTGCCTACGGAATGAAGTTACTGGATTAGTGAGCAGCGGACTCCCGAAATTTTCACTCATATTGTTGGCCAAGAACTTATTTTTAACCCCTCATCTTACCGATTTTAAAGGTTTTAGTCCCTTACCTTATACTATTACACTTTTAACCCTTCACCTTACTAGATTTATAAATTTTAATCCTTTACCTATTAAAATCGAAAAAAGTAACCCTCACTTTATACTGACTATTAACTTTGTTAGTTGAAAATAAGTTTTTATCAACTAACAGTCAACTAATAGTCAGCTAATAAAATTAACGAAATATTATAAAATTAATTCTATTAATTCTATTAGCTAAAAAAAGATTTTTGTCAATTAATAGTCAATCGATAGTCAGTTAATAGAATTAACAATCAACTAATAGAATTAACAGTCAGTTAACAAAACTAACAAAATATTACAAAGTGAGGGTTACTTTTTTCAATTTTAATAGACAAGGGGCTAAAAGTGTCATAATATAAAGTAAAGGATTAAAATCTTTAAATTTGATAAGGTGATGGGCTCAAAATAAGCTTTTGCCCATATTGGGGAGAATAATTGAAGTTGTAGGATCGTAGGATGGCAATTTCTTCTGTGACTTGTGGAGATCCTTATCACAAGAATAGAGATTTTAATAATATTTTTTCTCGTAAAATGGGGATGGACGCATTTTTTTCCCCTGTGAAATTTCCTCCATCCTATGGGGAATCGTGAAAAGTTATATAAAATAAAAAAATATAAATTTATTTATTATATATTTTTGTAAATATATTAACAATTAATTTTTTTCTTAGCTAACCTAATACCAATATAACCTAAATTTCATAACTCATTCTTTTTTCAATTTTCCCAAACCCAATTGTTAAATTCAACTCATTCTTTTTGTCAATTTAATCTTCCTAAACCTAATTGCCTAACCCAATTTGCATTGGTAACCCTAGAAGGACTATCCAAATATTTCAATTTCAAATTTGCAATTCCTCCTCTCCAATCTCCTTTACGGCTTTGCATTGTAACTTTGTTTCTACTTCTCAATCCTCATTTATGATTCCCTTTAAGCTTTCATCGTTACTACCAATTGTGCAACCACTGCAACACTGACTTGATAGCTTTTTTCTAATCTCTCTACTAGCCACCGATGACTCATCTCTTTTATGCCCTTTTCTTAATAAACTTATTGCTGGACATGTATGGTAGCAGTTTATGCCTTTTTTTTTATGAACTTTGCTAATGACAGATGCAGTTTATGCCTTTTTTTTTTTTTTTTACCTTGTGCTGGAATTGTTGGACTTATATGACAGTTTATGCCTTTTTTCTTTACGAACTTATTATTAACTTGCTGGACCTGCTTGACATGTATATATTGATTGTGTATATTTACTGCTTGTTTGTTTTGTTTCAAATTTTTGACTTTATATGATTATTTGAGTTAGTTTTATTTGATAAATGTGAAAACAAGTGAAGTCTAAATAGATTCATATTGAGTTTAATTTTGATTAACAAGTAGTGGAGCATGTAATAATTTCATTTGACAGAAACTCTAAATACCCACGAGATTTATCATTTCCAACGAGTATGAAGATAAAGACTATTTTTAAATCTCTATAAAAAAATTTTGTGAGGATATCTGTATCCACCATTAACAAGAATGAAGATGGAAAAGGGTGAGCACTTCGTTGCTATCCTTAGTCAACAGAGACTACTGAGGACCGCCACTATTAATGCAATTGTACACAAATGTACTGAACAGATGTACAGAAAACAACATGACTGAGTGTTCCGGAAAGTTTGTACATCAAAAATAATTTGGGTGTGTCTAGATTTTAATGGTAATGGCAATTAAACCCCACGTCAGAGATCTCGGGCCCTATTTATAACTAACACTTTAAAGCGTTCACACAAATTATGTTTTCTTTATCTTATAATAATTATTCTTTTTAATTTTTTTAATTAAAGATTTAAAAATTATTAATATTATTTTTAAAAGAAATTAAAGATAAAATAAGGTTTTTATGATAAAATAATTAATTAAGATAAATAGATAATAATAAAGTTAAAGTAAGAAAAAAAATTTATTTATTTTAAAAAATAAAAAATGATAATTAATTGGAGATAAATTTAAAATAAAAAATAATTATTTTTGAATGAAGAGATTAATATTTTTTTATAAATAATTAGTTATGATATTTGAAATAATTAGTTTATAGACTTATTTTAATATGCTAAGTCATTTTTATTATTTATCAATTAACAATTATTGTTATTAGTTGATTTTTTTTTTTTAAAACATTTTGACACGGGGCGAGTTCAAAACCCGCCCAGGGGAGGGGGGAATGCACCTAACAAGCTGGTTAATGCCAGTGGGCTTCTAGGCCCAGGTGCGTTATTAGTTGATTTTTTTTTTTTGAACATTTTGACACGGGGCGGGTTCGAAACCCGCCCAAGAGAAAGGGGAATGCACCTAGCAAGCTGGCTAATGCCAGTGAGCTTCTAGGCCCAGGTGCGTTATTAGTTGATTTTAATAATCAAACCAAATAAAACTAAGATTTTAAAAGATAATATATAAAATAATTTTGTGCTCTTAACACTTTATTGTATGGTTATGACTATACTAGGAGATCTCTTGCATCAAAGATATTAGTTCATTAATAACCGTCGTGAAAGAATAGTTTTTACAATTACAAAATTTTAATTCCTTGATTTATGCTCAATATTTTGGCTTTTTTTCTTTATCTTGGTTGCATAATAAAAAACAATCATATTTCATCCCTTATCTTATTTCACCTGCATGTTATGTAATTCGAACTAAAAATCTCTTATTTCTAATAAAAAGAAATAATTATTAAGTTACTTATTTTCGTTGGCAATTTATGCTTAATATCAATGATTCAAAACTTAAACAAAGTTTGGTTGCATTTAATAGTGATAAGGACGGCACATGTAAATAATTGTAGTTTGCGTCCACACATATGTACATGCAATTAATGTCCTAATTATAATAATTAGTAAGACAGAAAGGCACAAACTACATTAATTTATTTACATATGGAGTCCTTATCACTAATAGCATTATCCCAAAAGGTTTGGTGGGTACTGTTAATTTCCTAAATAATAAACGATTCTTTTAAACCATTAAAAATTAAAAATGAAAATACAAAAATGCATTTAATAAAAAAAAGAAAAATAAAGAAAGCCTTTTTAACCTTTTAAATTAAGTGAAAAATCCACAACATTAGGTGATGCTATTGTCCCATATTCAATTTTTTTTTTCATGTTACTCATATTCAAATATTAATGTTATAGTAAATATATATTTTTTAAATCTTTTACTTAAAAATGAGTAAAAAATAAATAATTATTTTCAAAAACTCATTAATAAATAAAGTATAAAAGTAAACCAAAAAATATGTAATCTAATAAGAACTTTTTATTTTATAATTTGGATTATTTCACATTATAAAACATAAATTCTTAAATAGAGAAAAAGTTTTTAATATTAGAGAAACTGTTTTTCATTTGAAAATTTATAATTTATAATTTTTTTTAACAATTTGACATGCGACGGGATCGAACCCATCCAAAGAGAATAGGGATGCATCTGTTTAATGTGACTAATGTTATTAAATTTGAAAAATTAGGTGCATTTATAATTTATAATTTAATTTAAATTATAAAATAATTTTTAATTTAATAATTTATGTTTTACCATCAAGTGACACAGAAATAAATGAACAATATTTTAAAGTAAGAGCCTTATATTTTATTTTATAAAAAGTAATTTTTTATTTTATAATTTAATATAATCTATATTATAAAAATAATTATTTTTTTTATATCAAAGTACTCATGTCACCACTAACCTAAAATAAAAATAGAAATATGTAGATTTTTTAAATTATTTTTATATAATTTTTATATATTATTAAATAAATAAATATTTTTAATATCATAAATTTTAAATAATTAAAAATTAATTATTTAAATAAAACATAAAATTATAAAATAATAATATAAAAAATTATCCCCCAATTATTTACAATAAAATAAAAGTGAATCCACCCAACATCACTTTATTTTTTTTGGAAATTAGGCAATGGAATCCACCCACCATCACGGGCAGTTAAATAAGTGTAGACCTAGAGTGGGCCAGACCCATTGCAGAAAGCGTGGGGGAAGGACGGTGTACTATCCCACCCTACAAGCTTCAGCAGCCCTCCTAGAAGGCTAGCGGACCCCACGTGTCACGTGGATGTTGGCCCAGTGGCCACGTAAGAGACAAAGGAGTGCAGCTTGTAAAATCTCCCCTCATCTCCTCTCCACCAATCCGAGCCCACCGCCCACGTGGGCACTGGACCCACAAGCTTCGCGACATTTAACACCTACATCCAACTTCCCCATAATATATTCATTAATAATATTATACTAGTAATTTTTCTTTATATATTGAAAATTTTACTTAATATCGTTAAGGTTCCAACTTTAATCTTAAACGTACATAAAAAAAAATTTTAAATTAATAAATATCAATCCAGCGAATCTTTGATGCCCCAATCCAAACCCCATTTACACCTAAGTCATTATATATTTCAACGTTCTTGGCTTTCTTGATCCACCAGACTCTTCCTTCTCCTCTTTTTCTTGCTTTTCTTCTACTTTTTTTCTCTTTCAAGTTTTACCCTTTTCTTTTAAATTCTATTGATCATGGCTAACTCTTCTGCTTCATATATTCACATGGTATGTGTGTACATGTTTATTCTCTTAAGGTTCTGATGATCTTTTTTGATCGAGTCTTACAATTTCATGATCATTTGCGTGATATGGTTTATGTAGGTACACCATCTAATAGAGGAGTGTTTGGTATTCAACATGAGCAAAGAAGAGTGTATGGAAGCTCTGTCTAAGCATGCAGATATCAAACCAATCATCACCTCCACAGGTTATCATCAATCCATAGTTACTCTTTTTTTTACATATCTGATTATGAATTATATAAAATTAATCTTAATTACACAAGCATGTCAAATATTTGCGGATCATGTGTTGGTGGTATATTTGCAGTGTGGAGTGAGTTAGAGAAAGAGAACAAAGAGTTCTTCGAAGCATACACAAAGAGAAGAGAAGGGCAAGTGACAGAAATGGAGGCGAAAAACAGGATTCAAAACATGCTCTCGAAATCTCCCAAAAGAGAAACCGAAGAAACTAAGCAGTAACCTCCTTCCCATATCCAAGAAATTAGAATAATTCACGGTACTATGCGTAATTATAGTCCGCATCAGATGTCAGCAGCAGTGGCACTTGAAGACAGAGATGATGAAGACGAGGAAAGGAAAACGACATGGGGCGTGCTGGTTCAGTTCCTGTAGTTTTGCTGAGCTGGACAAATAAAATAGAAAAAATAATTTATGGATAATTTTTTTATTATTTTTGTATAATTTTATATATCATTTAAATAATTAATTTTATTTATTTATTTATAATTTATAATATTAAATTTATCAACTCATTTAATAAAATATAAAAATTATATAAAAAATAATATAAAAATATTATCTATATATCACTCATAAAACGAACAAAATGGAGAAGTTGGGAAGCGTGACGTTAAGAAGACATTACAGGTGGAGACTACGTGGCAGTGCCCTGTTACTGCCTTTGTTTGCGTTGTAAAATTTTGGGGATATATATGGCCAGTAGGCTACCATATTGTACTACTCGTGTTTCTTCCCTCTGGTTTTGTATATATTGTATAAAATTGTACGTGATAATAAATCAAGTGGTGAGGATCAATTTTGAAGGCGATTTTCAGTTGTCACAGTCCCAACTTTTCGGATTTTGGTGAATTATCTTTTGGATGGAAACGGTTCTTGTTGATATCCATGATGGAAAGTCTACGGTAGGAGAACACACTTGACTTTCTTGCATAGATGTATACCTACCATTTAAGTTTAACCCCAAATCTATATGAAGTGCAAACCAAATCGTGAAGAAAATGTGAATGTTATCCATTTGAATAGGACACTTAGAGTGACAATTTCATATTTAATTAAAATGTAAGTTAGCCGTTTGCAATCTTACAGTCTAGAATACCAAAACCAGTAGAAGGGAAATTGCTTTACTCATTTAGGAAATCCGCCTCACATCTAATGGTTTATAATGTATCATTAAATAAATATACTCATACAATATCATAATAGACTTTTAGATAAAAAAATTAATCATATAATGACATGTTATAATTGTAAACTTATAATTCATGTAATATTATAATTATATTATTTTTGAATAAAAAGTAAAAAAAGAATTGTGTACAAATTATATCAAATTATACAATAATATTCTTGAATGGGAGCTGAGGGACTTTCTTTTATTTAATAATTTCTATTTTACAATTCATACAGTTTGGACGATAAAACAAAATTCTTAATAATGATGAAATATCTTAGGTTGCCCAGTTGCTATTGAGCACATTGGGCCAGGCCATGGGCCTATGTACTAGATAATTGGGCTAATTGATAATGGTATCCAGCATGGGCCATTGGCCAACATTATGCTGTTGGGATTACCCACAAAATCTGATCTTCTATACACCGTCGTTTTTAGAGCGCTCGGTTCTGCATTTAGTGGGTTTTGGAACTTCCATTTCCCCCTCTTCGTTGTCATATACCAGGGTTTAAGTAATTCCTTTGTGGAATCATGGAGTCTCTAGCTAAATTGCGCTGCACTCACCAACCCCTCCTTAACCTCTCCCTTAACCACCGTCGTCCTTCATTTCCAAAACCCCTTTCTTCTGTATCATACAGAACGCTACGCCCGTCTTCTTCATCGTCTCCGTTCAAATTATGCTCCATCAGAGCCTCATCTTCATCACCGCCGTCCTCCTCCGGCCCACTTCATCGAATCCTCCAAACCCATAAACCCTCCCTACTCCAAACTATAACCCCCATATTGAAAACCACCTGCATCGCTGTAGCAGCTACCGCATTGTTCTTCCTGCGGCTCAACCACAAGCCCGTGATAGCCGCCCCAGCTACAACAGCAGCGACGGTGGAGTCCGGGACTAAAGAATCAACGGATAGTGATGTCTCGCTTGAAGAGCAGGAGAGAACTCTGGATGAATACTTAATTCGGTACCCAGATGATCTCAAGGCTCTAAGGTCCCTAATGGAGGTTAAGATCAAATTGGGCAAGCTCCAGGAGGCGATTGAGGTTATCAATCGTATGATTGAGCTTGAGCCGGAAGAAATTGAATGGCAGATGTTAAAAGCACAAATTCGTACCTTCAGTGGGGAGCACGAGTCGGCGAAGAAAGAGTTTGAGGCAATATTAGTGAAAGACCCTTATCGTGTTGAGGCTTACCATGGCCTTGTAATGGCTTATTCGGATTCGGGTCAAGAATTGAAGGAGTTGGAGAAGAGGATTAGTGAGGCAATGGAAAAGTGCAAGAAGGAGAAGAAGACCAAGGATTTAAGGGATTTTAAGCTGTTGATTGCTCAGATACGGTTAATTGAAGATGAACACTTTGCGGCTTTGAAGATTTACCAGGAGCTGGTGAAGGAGGAGCCAAGAGATTTTAGGCCATATTTGTGCATGGCCATCATTTATACTTTGTTGAAGAAGAAAGATGAGGCTGAGAAGCATTTTGCCAAGTTCAGAAACCTTGTGCCAAAGAGTCACCCTTATAGGCAGTATTTCGATGACAGTATGTTCGCAACCAAGCTCTTTGCAGAAAAAGCAGAGAGGGAGGCAGCTGGGAAGAGCTGAGTAAGTGGCTTCTCAGCTATCCATTGGAGGTGAAAAGATAGGTGGATTAGCTTCTTTTTTCCATTTTTTTTAATTTAATATTTTCAGATTGTTCTTAATTTTGTTTCTCTTTATTGCAATACATTGAGTAATTAGTTAATATTAAAAGTGTAGGTAATTAAAATTAGATCATGCATTTCTAAGGCGGCAGTGCGAGGTTAATAAGTGACTAGTCCAATGGTATGTCTGCTCCCAATTTTGAGGGGAGGATGTTGGGTTAATATAATGGTCAATTCAATTGAGTTCTAATCTTATTGCAGTTCATGGAGTATGAGTTTAACAGCATATTCTCTGTTTTGAGCTTACTTAATTATTAGATGGAAATTGAAGGACTTCTTATGCTTTCTATGGGAGATTTTATGTTAAATATTTTGTTTGGCTTTCTGCAGAGATGACAGTTTATGATCATGTGTGGTAGTTTCAACTTTAAACGCTGAATATTATTGTGATTTGTTTTTACAGGAGTTTTGAGTATGTGATTAGTTAAATGTCTTTGGGTAACTTTGGGAGGGGGAATTAGGCTAAGCTAGTTTTGAACCTTGGCTGTGTGGATGCAACAACCCTTGGGTCACCATCTGCCCTTAATGCCAAGTTCATTAATTACTAGTTTAGTTTGAATGTTACTATGAAGTCTGCGTTTTTAGTCCAAACAAGTGATGTAATATACTAGTGCATTTTTTACTTTCAGGATTTATTATATTGATACCAGTGCATCCTGATTCTCCGGATCAACCTAAGATTGAAGTTTTTTAATAGAAACTAGGAGATGGAATGATTGGATTTTATGGATATGTTTACCATCTTGGAAAAATTAGAAGCATATAAATTCGTCATTACTGAAAGTCTGTAGCAGACAAAAGTGGATATGTTGCTTAGTTTGGTATGGTATTGGTTGATGGGATACTTCATATCTTAGGTCTTTGCATCCAAGTATTTTCGCTCATCACCATATTCACATAGTAGCGGTAAAAAATTAGACTGGGTTGGAGAGGGATGGTATTTATCTTTCCTATGGTTGGCTTGATTCAAAGTTTACTCTGATATAATGCCTTTTAACCTACTCCATTAACATGATTTTGCTTGCATGTTTAAAATCCTTGATAGATATGAAACTTTGTGGAGCTTAAAAGACCAAATTATAGGGCTAGTTACTATGTGCAGAAGAGGGCATATCCAAGACAATCTATATGCGTCACAAATCAGGTAATTGATTTGCCGTTCTCTTTTATCCTAGAGTAGATGCAGTTCACTACAAATGAAAGTTGCAAAACTCACACTTTGATCTACTGATCATGTGGGGTTTAAAACATTAAGTTTGTTCACTGCTTTTAACATAAGAAACTTATGTAGACTATCCATCACCTAGATAAAAGTTGGTTGCCCAGTGTTGTTGTTCTTATCACTTGCTGGCCTTCACTATATCTGCATTTTGCTAGCAGTTGTTTTGTTGGCTTCTTTGATGGTTAGCAAGCACTGAGTGGAGAGTGCATGTAAGTTGTTCTGTTGGGACATGTTGGCAATAAATGCTGCCAGGACCCACTTCATTAGCATCTATCTGTTTTTATTCTTTATTTTATTTTATTTTTTCTTTGTAGAGAAAGGTGAAAACCATGACCTCCTAACAGTGATTAGCTGTGAAATTGTTCAAATATCCTTAAAGAATCTTTCTTGCATGTTGATTCAACCAGGGTATATAAGTTTTTTATTATCATTCTTGTCATTTTAATTGCTAGAGAAGATTGATTTTTTGCAATCTTTATCTCCTGGCATTGTGGGAGCTTAACCCCTGATCTTGATCTCAAATATGTTTTTAAGTTCTTGCTATTATTTATTTCGTTTCAGATAACTCTAAGCTAGACAGTCAAGTAACAAGAGTTAGAATAAGATTATAAGCTAGAGTCCTAATTCTATCAAGACTAATCTTCTGAGATGATACACCGTCATTCTCCAAAGTACTCAATTTACTTTGATCCCCTGCATTCCAAGTATTTCACACTTGGCACTCTGGTCTCCAAGTGTCATCTCATCTTATGTGCTCTTCTTCACTGGGGCTCTTCCAGATTTAAGTAAGCCACACTAAGGGCGTGTTTGGTTGTTGAGCAAAATTTCTTCCTAACTTTTTCTTTAAAGTTATTTACGTATTTTTATATTTTAATACTAATAACAAAAGGGTAAAAGTGATATTTTCAATTTTTTTATTGATACAATTCTTAATTAGGGAACTTTTCTTCTCACACTTTTTCAAGGAAAGAAGTTTTTCACAACTTTTTCAAGGAAATAAGACATATTCAATATTTTTCTTAAAGTTGTCAATATCATATCAGTATATATATCAATTTTACTATTGATACGATACATATTGGAGATCAAAATTTTTCGTGTATCATTTCGGATTTATCACTGGAAAAAAATTTTGTGAAGAAGTTCAAGAAAAAGAATAAGAAAATGACTCAATCGAAGAAATAAAAAAGCTGAGGATGAAATCTATCAAGATAAATCCACAAATCCAACCCAAACCCCAATATTAAATCCATTAACAATTTAATTCAAGTCTCAACCTAATTTCATAAATCAGCCCATCAAAACTCAAATTTAGCAATGAAAGAAAACCCTAGTTTCCTCTCTTTTAAAGGGGAAAGGAGACAGTAGACAAACAAAAAAAAAAAAAAAAAAAAGAGAGGAGAAAACATAAAAAAAAGAGGAGATAAGCCTCTCGATATTTCTCCCTTCTACAGATCTGTGACCACCACCATCACCTCCATTCTTTCACCTTCGATCTTCACCATTCTCTTGCTTATTATCACTCTCATCGCCATCACCCTCACCAATCACCAAGCAACCAAAAAAAAAAAGAAAGAAAAAAGAAAAAAAGATGAAGCTGATCTAGCCGCAAGCCCCATTGGGAACTTCGATCTTAACAATTTTCTTGCGTCTCATCATTATCACAACCTCCACCTTCATCACCGATAGTAGAGGGGTTCGGCAACCACCATAAAAGGGAGGATCTTTCTTCTCAAAAAAAAAAAAAAGAAAAATCTTTAAGTTTTCATCAACACTATCAATACATTGAAATATCGGTTGGTACGTAGAAATACTAGCTAGTATATTGAAATTTGATCGAAGTGGTCGAAATTTGACAAAAATAAAATTGAACCTTCTAGCATTTTGGTTTAATAAAAAAATCGATACGAACTGACCATACCGGCCAATACAAAGCAAAATTAAAGACATTGATTTTTCCTATCAATTTTTCTTATATAATAACCAAGCAAAATTTCAAGAAAATTTGCCAACAACCTAAGTAATTTAGTGGTCATTTTCTTCCATCGAAACTAAGAAATCTTGAGTTCAAATCGCATGATATGCGAGTGGGATAATATAAGAGATGAGAGATAATTGTTTCTCATTATGCAACCAAGATAAAAAATATATATATATTTCAAGAAAATTTACCAACAACCTAAGTAATTTAGTGGTCATTTTCTTCCATCGAAACTAAGAGATCTTGAGTTCAAATCGCATGATATGCGAGTGGGATAATATAAGGGATGAGAGATAATTGTTTCCCATTATGCAACCAAGATAAAAAATATATATATATTTCAAGAAAATTTAGTTACAAAACTTATTAACTCTGTACAGTGCTTTTTTACTATTTTCTTGGTAAATTTAGTCCTTACCCTCCAATTAAACAAGCTGTAAAATTTCGTTGGCCAGTATTGCATTGTATCTATAGTTTTTTTTTTTTTTTTTTAATATTTTAAAAATATATAAAATATTAATTAAAATTAATAAAAGTTTATAAAAAAATTAATTAAAATTAATTAAGTAATAATAATAATAAATTTATATTTTTAAATTAGCAACCTTAAATTTCGCCTCGTCAACTTGTAAGTTGTATCCCAATTTAACCGCAGTGCACTTCTAGGGTTTAAGGAATCTCTCTTCACTCTCTGTGGAATCATGGAGTCTCCTGCTAAAATGCAGTGCAAGTCACCAACCCCTCAATCTCCCCCTTAACCACCATCGCCCTTCATTTTCAAAGCCCCTCTCTTCTGTATCGTACATAACCCTACGCTCATCTTCTCCACAACCTCCGCCGAAATTTCGTTTCATTACGGCCAAATCTTCATCACGTTCGTCCTCCTCAGGTCCACACCATCGAATCCCCCAAACCTTTGAACCCTCCCTCCACAAAATTATAGCCTCCATCATGAAAACCGCATTCGTCTTCGCCATAGCAACGACCTCATCGTACTTCGAGGGGCTCGACCACAAAACCTTGACACCAACCCCCAGCCACAACAACTGCAACGGTGGAGACCCTTGGAGAGCAGAACCAATACCCAGGTGATCTCAAGGCTCTCTGGTCCTTGATGGAGGATAAGATCATCAAATTGGGCGAGTTCCAGGAGGCTATTGAAGTCATCAATCATAGGATCATGCTTGAGCCGAAAGGAGTTGAATGGAAGTTGTTGAAAGCACAAATTCGTAGCTTAAATGGGGAGCACGAGTTGGCGAAGAAGGAGTTTAAGGCAATGTTAATGGAAAACCCTTTCTGACTGGAGACGTTTGGAGGCCTTATCATGGCTTATTGGCAGTCGGGTCGAGAATTGAAGGAGTTGGAAAAGAGAATTAACGAGGCAATGATGATGTGCAAGCGGGCGAAGCAGACCAAAGAAGCAAGGGAACTGATGGAGTTGATTGCAAAGATACGGTTAATTCTAAGAGTGATTGCACAGATATTGCGTATTCTTGCACAGCTTAGTGGTTTTCGAGGCAGTCGACGGAGGTGAATTTGCTTACGGCCATGCATCTGGGAACTCTGATCCATCCGTGTTATTGGCTTTGGTAGAACTTCAGACTTGGGTCATCAAATTCTTTATCTTTTATTGTAAACTTGGATTTTTAAATATGGGACTATTAGTTATTTTTTACAAAATAAAAAAAAAAATCAAAAAATCGAAAGCCAAAACCCACAAACCCAAATAAATGAAAATTTAAGATCTTTTCTCATTTTCCTCTGTTTCTCACACCAAAATAATTTACCCAAAAAAAAGAAATTTTAGGCGTTTTGGTTGCTTATGTTGAAACAGTTTTTTTTTTTTTTTTTGATAGATATGTTGAAACAGTTTTTAGTTTTGTGGTTTCAAAATTTTGGACTAAAATTGAATGGGTTTTTAATTAATTATAATTTTTTAAGTTAGATTCTGTTTAGTATGAGATTTTGAGTTTTGGTTTTTGGTTTTTATTTTTATAATTAAAAAGATATTTATTTTAATAAATTTTTATTGATCATTGAAAAAAATTAAAATTAAAATAACCTTTACTTTTTTTTGAGTGACGAGAAAACCACCGGAACTAGGGTTACGATGGCTCTGGTGAGTTTTCTTTCTTGGGTTTGGTTCCGATTATTTTTCTCTCCAAGGAAGGAGGTTATGGTTTTTCTCTCCATGCATGGTGGGAGGTGATGAGGGATTGTTTTTGAAGGAGAGGCTATGAAGGAGGTGAAATGTTGATGGTCCTGGCTTGGCGCTCGAGTTCCATTGGGTGCTGACGATGGTGGTTGGTTATGGTCAGAGTCCAGGGACATTGATGTTGATGACATAAAACTCTTTGGTTTCCATGCTTGGAAAGTGAAGGATACTTTAGGGCAGAGGGCAGAGTTTCCTTCTACTGGTCATTGGATCTCTACGATAAATGGATCTTCTGGGGGTCGATATGCAGAGGCAGTGGGAAAAAAATAGGGTGCAATTGATTTTTTAGGGAAAAATCTTAGGAAAAGATTTGAGTCTTCTAATTTTATTTTGTTTCCCAATAGAGCTAGTTCCCTTTCTTCTGAGATCTCCTATGATTTAGGAGTTTATGAGAGATTTTTTTTTTTTGGTCGTTGGAAGAAAATTAGTAAAAAAAAAGGATTTGTTTTTATTTGGAGCAAATCTTTTAATTCACTTTGAAGTTTGAGTTTAGAGTAATTTGAACTTAAAGTAATTTGAAATTTGAACTAACTCAAATTATTCATTAAATTGTTTTAGAATTTTAAGATAATAGTTCTTTTATAGTTTTTATAAAGATTTAGG